GGAAGCGTTTGAGGGTCTCGTATGTGAAGAAACCAAACCCTGAGTAAGGAATCACACCAATCAGAGTGGGAACAAACCCTCTGTACAAACGCGAGAACTTCTCATCCTTTATGGTCTTCATGAAGACGGCCGACAGATCCCTGTATTGCTCTTTATGTGTGACAGCCATCCGAGCGCGGGCTAAGTCTAGAGGATAGGTAGCAGTGGTTGAGACCACTCCGGCCAGAGATCCGGCAACAAAGCTGAGCGCCGGACGTTCTCGTCTGTGAGACAATACATTTAATTGACATTCAATTGAAATCTATTTAATGAAACACAAACTTCTGGGCATTGGTTTCGACATTCAATAAGTGTTTGAACTGTTCATGACTTGAGTACTGAATGGCGGCGTACGGCATGACCCGCACCATTGTGGCCGAGTTGCCCCTCCAGAGACTCTTCAGACCAGATCTCTTGTAAGTGTTCACCAGGAATACGAAGGCTTCCCTGAAATTGAACGACAGGTTCTGTGTTTGGAAATTTATCTTGGTCCTGTCCAGGGGCGCGATCACAGTCTTAGCCAACGCGCCGGCAGTCGCGCCCGCCATCAACGAAGTCAACACTCGCTTTGATTGTGACAACTGTTCACACAATCAATCATTAAATCACAATCAATCACACATTCATTGCAATCACTCCGAGTGCCCTCACTTTATTTGATCCGTTTGTCTCAACCATTGCCACCAATTCATAGCACAGTCACATTCAAAGCGCAGACCTATTAACGAGTCAATGAATCATCAAATCAAACAAATCTTCAAATTGTAGATCAAATGCAAACATAAATCCGTTTAAATGCTAACTATTGGGACAGACCTTCAAAATACGAGCAAAACATTCAAATCACATGTTTTCACGTCATTTACGGCTCACACAAACCAATGCACACCAGAAGCGAGGGCACGTCCATCCCTAACACAACCAATCGCTATAACACCCACTGAGCCCGTCAACAGTGTGCAACCCTGCCCTCTGCAGTGCAAACACCAAATGAACCAACTTTCCCTCACAGACCCCACCATACCATCAAACACATCCTATACTAATCCGTGCGGCTGTGGTCATAGACTACCCCTCACTTGCACTCACTATCATAATGTCAAACATATTGAATACATGCACTCTATTCCCATGCTATACATCAATATGATTGACTAAACTGTGGTCTAAAATAATAGTTCATTGAATTGGTTATATCGATAATATATGATAATTAGTGGACGTATGCCATCAGTCATTACATTATGAATGAATGCCTGCAATAATTATGCAGTGCTTTCACTGTCCTATTGGACCAATGGTTGCCTTTTATTACATATGAATCGCACAACCATTGGTTCCCAACACTCATTGGCAGACATTAACCTACAGAACAAGAGTGAGTCCAATGCTATGATATCTACTTCATACTCTACCAGTGAGGGTCCCAACTGTTTGAGGGTTTATCACATGACTACACTTGGAGACCAAATACCTTTCAATACATTCATCTTTCATTCAAACAAAACAAATTCTGCAAACTTTTGGTTCAGTGTTTGATTGGCTCTGAAAAGAGCCGTTTGTGTGACCTTTGGTGAGGATTTAAGCCTTTTTGGGCGCTGTCTTGCTTTTGGGGGCCTTTTTCGGTGTCTTTTTGGCGGCGGGTTTGGCTTTCGATGACTT